ACTATTTAAGGCATCATTAAAACCAGTTTCCCTATATTTCTCGAAAAAGGAAATCAACCCCTTTATTTTTTCAATAGCAACATCAATAAGCATATCCCTTGATTGTAAAAACTTGCTAACCAAATTAATAGCACATAACACTTCAAACCAAATAACTATGGCAACTAAAAACTCAAAATCAGCAAGCTCGTTAATTGCTAAAGATTTAGCTTCACTTCTTATTTTAAGATCATTATCAACATCTGCTACTTGTAGTAAAGCTTCTCGAAATTCTGATATTTGAGATCTTATAGCTTTTACACTATCAACCCGACTCTCCCAACGAGCGGCTGACAATGGCTTTGGAGTCAACCCTTTTATATTATTTTTCAAAATTTCCCCTCTTTGTTGAATTTGCAAAAATTGTATAAATACGTTGTATGATTCCAAAAAAATCATTAGCTTTAGTACATGTATTGGCCATATCACACAATGCCAAATTAAGGCTATGGCAGCCACAAGAAGTATAAAAAGCTTTAGGGTTAATGTCTAACATTCTCTTTTTCACTCCTTGATGTTTTCCTTTCATATTTGATCCATTATCATAACCTTGTCCTCGCACATCAAATATACTAAGATCAAGATTTTCCAACTCAGTTTGTAAAGTATTAAAAAGCCCTTGACCAGTTGTATCATTCACATTCAAAAATCATACGAAAGATTCTTCAATGATTACAAAATTAGTAGAAATATCGACATATCTCAATATCAAAGTCATTTGTTCTTGGTGACTAACATCAGGAGTACAATCAAGAATAACAGAAAAGTATTTTGCTTGTTTTATTTTTTTAATGATTTCTGTTTTTATTGCAGAACCAAGCAAAAATATTAGTTCATTTTGAATAGTGTGCCCAAGATAATGACTATGAATATCATTATTTGTAATACGCCTAACATGTTCTTGCACAATTGAGTCAAATTCTGCCAAAAGTTCAATTAAACCTAAAAGATTGCCATTGTTATTGTCATATAACTTTTCATTAGTACCACGAAAAGCTAAATTATGTTTGCCAAGAAATTTCACAACTGCAATAATTCTTAGTAAAAAAATTTCCCAATGCTCTTTCTCTTTCTCAATTTGTGCTTGAGCCATTTTATCAATAGTTTGATTCTTTGCAAATCTTAAGCGCACATCATACCAAGTTGCCATATTTTTTACATGTTCCATGCTTATTTCATGTTCTCTAAGTCTTTCACCAATATGTGCCCAGTCTGCAAACCCTTCATTCGCTAACTGGCCTCTACCAATTCCATTTTTAAATATTTTACAACAAAAACAGAACACTTTATTAAGTTCTTTCGAATAAACAAGCCAATCTCTATCGCACTTCTCCCCGTTTGATAAAACTCTAGTATACAAATTTGCAGTAAACCGTCTAGAAAATTTATCTTTAGGTCCCTTGACAATAGAACAATCTCTTTTTGGACCCTCTATAACTAATAAATCAACCATTTTAGAGCTAAGAGCATCCCAAGTTCTTGGATCAAATATATCTACCATATGAGATGTTTCTGGAGAATTAATTGGTCCTTCATTTTCATTAATATCAACACCTATATCATGAATTTCATTTTCTAGGGAGTTCACATTTTCATTCTCTAGATGATTATTATCACTCTCTACTAGCACATCATTACAATTTGCAGATCCTGCATTTTCATTATCATTCACAAATATCACATCATCACAGTCAAGCACATTAAAACTTTGATTTTCAACGGAAACTTGAGGGTCTCTTTTGATAAATTTATCAAGAGCTCCTGTTTGAGATTTTATTAATGCTTCAGCTTTTCTTTTTTTCAGCAGCGTTTTATGACCAAATTCATACTTTTTCATTCCAGGAGCCATAATATCAAGATTCAAGAAATCAAAATAACCTCAATTAGAGTTAAAAAAAGAGGGAAACAACCTGATGTTTGGAACTTTATTTGGAAGACTCAGACAAATGAATCAGTAGATCCAATACAGCAATACAGATGTAGCAAACTAGCGATGCATTGCCTATTTCCCTACCTTGTTGTTTGCCTGTTTAGTTCATAAAATCAGAAAGAAACAAATTAAAATGATAAAATCGCAACTTCATAACCTAAGAGGCTGAGAAATTAGATAAAAAAGAGTGAATAGATTTACCTTGCCAGATAACTCGACTAGTTGAATCGTTCGGCCAAGTCAAGCAATAAACTTTTTTTGATTTTTTGATAAGAATCGCAGAGAGCTTCAAACCCTAAATGGTTAGGCAGTTAGCGTATGAGAAGCCGACTTGTGTAAAGCCGACAATTGTGTTTGCCGTTTGGGAAGTGGGATGGTTGTTTAGCATTTTTGTTTTGATTTAATTTAATTTGGAGGCTGAAGCATAGATGTAGGGTTTTGAGTTGGGCCTTTCATAATTTAACCGTGTTTCAACACTTCAAATGGGCCTTTCGTAGTTTGTTTTTAAAAAGTTTATTTATAATTTAAACAATTACTTTATATATATATATATATATATATATATATATATATATATATATATATATATATTGATGCACACTAATTAGTAGTGCATAATTACATGTTTTTATGAGTGATTTATGTTAATTGTTTGACGTTTTATTTAGTTTGTAAACATTTATGTGATTTCAAGTTGTAATTGTATTTTAGTCTATTTGTGTAAGTTGTAAAGTTTAGTTAGGATTTATGGTTTGGGAAGGAAGACTTTGAAGTGAAGAAAAAGAAGATTTGGCTGCCCAGGAGCAAACACCCGACCGGGTATAATACTTGACCCGGTCGGGTAAGAAGTGAAAAACGAAAATGCAAAGAAAGTGCATGGCCCGGTCGGGCCCACTACCTCACCCGGTCAGGTGAGAAGTGACCGGGGACAACCCGGTGTGCAAAGATCACCCGAACGTGTAGAAAATCCAATTTTTGCACTCACCCGGTCGGGTCCCATACCCGACCCGGTCGGGTCAGACATGACCCGGAACACCAGAACATGCTGAAGATCACAAAGATTTTGAAAAAATCTGATTTAGACCAAACCCGGTCGGGTCCCTCACTTGACCCGGTCGGGTCTGACTTGACCCGGACAAATTAACGTGCTGGAACAATGAAATGTGGGAGATTATCTGATTTTGACCGGTACCCGGTCGGGTATGTACCTATACCCGGTCGGGTACCCGGCCAAAGGTGTTGAAAAACACCTATAAATAGCACTCTTTTTCTCCTCTTAAAAGCATCCCTTCTTCCATACTCTTTAGCTCAGTTTAGAATAGCATTTCTTTATATTTTTCTAGCTATGTTTAGCCTCCAAATGAGGAGCTAAACTTCCATTCTTGGTGTTGCTCATTGAAGCTTGTTGATTATTAAAGTTGTGGGTTATTTTCTTAACTTCTTTCCTTGAATATTAATTAATAGTTCTTTCCTTAATATCATCTCTATATTAATGTTGGGGAGTGTTGCTAAGATGACAATTAGTTAACATCTCGACATTGGTTAGAATGGTATTTTCTTCCTCTATATTAATATTGAGGAGTGTTACTAAGATGACAATTAGTTAACATCTTGATATTAATTATAGTAGGATTCATCTTCATTAATAATATTCTTCCTTGAATGTTAATTAATTCCTACTCTTATTTCATATTAATATTTTGAACATTACTTAAAGGATCAACTAGTTTTGTTTCATATATTAATTATTACTAGAAATGATCAACGAACCGATGGTTAATCGTTGATGGTTTCACAAGTAAGTAACTTCGGTTTATTAATGCACGGTCGTGGTTAATAAACTTAAGAGGGATTAATTTTGTTGGTTAAATCTAAACCGTTTGTGTTGAGGTTATCAATCTCAATTGATTTCATCAAGGAGTTAGAAAGATTAAATGCTACTATTAAATCGGTATAAGGCGTTGTTCTATATTTGATTAATAGTAAGGGTTATTAATGAACGGTCGTTGTTAATAACTACCCTCGATGAAGTGGATATACTCCCCGATTGAGTATTCGAGAGGGAATAAGTTATAGATATGACAATGATCGACTAAAATATATCAACAAGTGGAAAGTAGCAATGCCAAGTCCTTTTTATCTTTGAATTAAACACGTATAGGTTGTTCATCTTAGTTCTTAATTAAATTAAATCACTCAATCCAAATCCCCCTTTTTATTTACTAAGTATCATAAAAAGAGAATTATTCCTTTCCCTGTGGATACGAACTCTACTACGCTATACTACGTATAAGTGTTAGTATTGAAAATTATTTTGACGCACCGTGATAAAGTGCTCGTCAAATTTGGCGCCGTTGCCGGGGAAAGCAATTTATTTTTCTTTTTATTTTATTTCAAAGAAAAAAAAAATAATATATAAAGATTTCTATTTTTGCTGAGCTTTGTTTGAGTATATGGTTAAACACCGATCTATAAACCAAATCACCTACCAAACAAAGCCCGAAACAGAACAAGCCTTCGAGAGGTTCAGGAATCTATTTCCGAATACTTCTTCGGAGGAATCATCAAGTGCTAGTTCTCATTCTAGCGAATCCGAAGAGTCCTTTCACATGGCTCTTGAAACAAGAACGTTGAGGGAGCTAACGGCTCCGAATCTAAATCAACAACCCTTATGTATCACTTTTCCAACTCTTGATACGGGGGTCACATTCGAGCTAAAATCTGGGCTCATTCATCTACTTCCCTCTTTCCATGGCCTACGAGGGGAAGATCCAAATAAACATTTGTCGGAGTTCCATATTGTGTGTACAAGCATGTGCCCCAATGGCGTGTCCGAGGAGCAAATCAAGCTGAGAGCCTTCCCATTCTCTCTCAAAGACACCGCCAAAGATTGGTTATTTTATCTTCCCTCGGGAAGCATCAACACATGGGCTCAAATGAAAAAGAGCTTCCTTGACAGGTACTATCCCGCATCTATCTCTTCAAGTCTCAAGAAGCAAATCAGCAACATTGAGCAAGCAGAAAATGAGACCTTGTATGAATATTGGGAGCGCTTTAAAAAATTATGTGCTAGTTGCCCATATCATGGATATTCAGAACAAGATCTCATCCTCTACTTCTATGATGGACTTGTTGATCAAGATAGACGCATGGTGAATGCGGCATGCGGAGGGGGTATTGTCAACAAAACCCCTTCTCAAGCAAGAGACCTCATTTCGGAGTTGGCCGAAAACTCGAGACATTACAACGGAAGGTCATCATCGAGACGAGTCATGGCAGCGGAATCCAACAATTCGTTGGAAAGTCAAGTAGCCGGCTTGACTTCTTTGGTTAAAGATTTCCTTTTAAATCCAAAAACCCAAGAAGTCAAGGTCTGCGGCATCTGTTCCACGCAAGGGCATCCCACAGATTCTTGCCCAACGCTACAAGAAGAGAACTCCGAGCAAGTCAATGCTTTGGGGTTCCAAGGTCAAAGGAGGTACGATCCTCAAGGAAATACTTACAACCCGGGATGGAGGGATCATCCGAATTTAAGGTACGGAAATTCTCAAACAAATCCTCCCCCTCAACAATACAAACCCCAAGGCCAAACATCGAACTCGAGTATGTCCACCGAAGACATGATTCGAGCGCTGGCCGTTAATATGGGAACAATGCAGCAAAGCATGGGGCAATTCCAACAAACAATGATGCAATTCCAACTTGAAACCAAGTCGAGCATTCAAAATTTGGAAACTCAACTTAGCCAAATTTCAAATGCCGTAAGTCGACTTGAAGCAAAAGATTCGGGTAGGCTCCCCTCCCAAACTGAGCAAAACCCGAGACAACATGTCAATGCAATCATGTTGAGGAACGGTAAAGAATTGCAACCACGGGAAGTTGAGGAGGAGAAGCAAGAGGTTGATCTTGAAGAAGGCTTTCAACAGGAAGAGGAGAAGCCAACGAAGACTAAATTCCCTCCACTGTCATCATATGAACCACTCCCTCCATTCCCTGAGGCATTGAAAGACACGAGGAAGCTGAAGATTGATCGGGACATCTACGAAACATTCGTCAATTCTGAGGTAAACATCCCACTCTTCAAACTGATCAAAAGTGTTCCCCGTTATGCAAAGTTCTTAAAGGAACTATGCACAATGAAAAAGAAAAATAAACTGGAAGGGAAACAAAAAGTTGAAGTGAGTGAACGTGTCTCGGCCATTTTTAAAAAGAAACTCCCTGAGAAATGTAGCGATCCAGGCATGTTCACTATTCCTTGCAAACTAGGGGATACCTTATTTTCTAAGGCCTTGTTGGATTTAGGAGCGTCAATAAATGTCATTCCTTTTTCCTTATATAAATCCTTACAACTCGGCCCACTACATCAAACTGGTGTAGTGATTCAACTAGCGGATCGGTCTAATACTTACCCGAAGGGTGTAGTAGAAGATGTGCTAGTAGAAGTAGAAAATTTGATTTTCCCTGTTGATTTTTATGTTCTGGAAATGGGAGATGATAACCAAACTACACCCATCCTCTTGGGTAGGCCTTTTCTGAAAACCGCAAAAACAAAAATAGACGTGGCTAATGGTTCATTAACTTTAGAGTTTGATGATCAAAAGGTAGAATTCAACATTTTTGATTCTACGAAAAAACAAATTAAAGACCAATCTCTTTGTGCTCTAAATGTTTGTGAACCACAAACCCCGAATATTTTTGTTGGAAAAAAAAATGAGAAAATCAAACTTTTTGAAAAAGAAGAATTATTCAAATTTTCAAAAAGAGAATGGATCCCACCTGGGATTGAAGTGATACCGGAAAAGAAATCCCGGCCTTACTGGAGAAGGCCGAAAAGGAAAAATGAAACAAGGGATGTTCACGATCCCACATGAAAACAAAAAAATAAAATAAAAATAACGTCGTGCCGCGACATTAAATCAAGCGCTTCTTGGGAGGCAACCCAAGTTTTTATTTTTAATTTCATTTTTTTTTTCAGTTCGTGTGTTTTAATTTTTTCTAGCTATGTTTAGTCTCCAAATGAGGAGCTAAACTTTCATTCTTGGTGTTGCTCTTGAAGCTTGTTGATTATTAAAGTTGTGAGTTATTTTCTTAACTTCTTTCCTTGAATATTAATTAATACTTCTTTCCTTAATATCATCTCTATATTAATGTTGGGGAGTGTTGCTAAGATGACAATTAGTTAACATCTCGACATTGGTTAGAATGGTATTTTCTTCCTCTATATTAATATTGAGGAGTGTTACTAAGATGACAATTAGTTAACATCTTGATATTAATTATAGTAGGATTCATCTTCATTAATAATATTCTTCCTTGAATGTTAATTAATTCCTACTCTTATTTCATATTAATATTTTGAACATTACTTAAAGGATCAACTAGTTTTGTTTCATATATTAATTATTACTAGAAATGATCAACGAACCGATGGTTAATCGTTGATGGTTTCACAAGTAAGTAACTTCGGTTTATTAATGCACGGTCGTGGTTAATAAACTTAAGAGGGATTAATTTTGTTGGTTAAATCTAAACCGTTTGTGTTGAGGTTATCAATCTCAATTGATTTCATCAAGGAGTTAGAAAGATTAAATGCTACTATTAAATCGGTATAAGGCGTTGTTCTATATTTGATTAATAGTAAGGGTTATTAATGAACGGTCGTTGTTAATAACTACCCTCGATGAAGTGGATATACTCCCCGATTGAGTATTCGAGAGGGAATAAGTTATAGATATGACAATGATCGACTAAAATATATCAACAAGTGGAAAGTAGCAATGCCAAGTCCTTTTTATCTTTGAATTAAACACGTATAGGTTGTTCATCTTAGTTCTTAATTAAATTAAATCACTCAATCCAAATCCCCCTTTTTATTTACTAAGTATCATAAAAAGAGAATTATTCCTTTCCCTGTGGATACGAACTCTACTACGCTATACTACGTATAAGTGTTAGTATTGAAAATTATTTTGACGCACCGTGATAAAGTGCTCGTCAAATTTGGCGCCGTTGCCGGGGAAAGCAATTTATTTTTCTTTTTATTTTATTTCAAAGAAAAAAAAAATAATATATAAAGATTTCTATTTTTGCTGAGCTTTGTTTGAGTATATGGTTAAACACCGATCTATAAACCAAATCACCTACCAAACAAAGCCCGAAACAGAACAAGCCTTCGAGAGGTTCAGGAATCTATTTCCGAATACTTCTTCGGAGGAATCATCAAGTGCTAGTTCTCATTCTAGCGAATCCGAAGAGTCCTTTCACATGGCTCTTGAAACAAGAACGTTGAGGGAGCTAACGGCTCCGAATCTAAATCAACAACCCTTATGTATCACTTTTCCAACTCTTGATACGGGGGTCACATTCGAGCTAAAATCTGGGCTCATTCATCTACTTCCCTCTTTCCATGGCCTACGAGGGGAAGATCCAAATAAACATTTGTCGGAGTTCCATATTGTGTGTACAAGCATGTGCCCCAATGGCGTGTCCGAGGAGCAAATCAAGCTGAGAGCCTTCCCATTCTCTCTCAAAGACACCGCCAAAGATTGGTTATTTTATCTTCCCTCGGGAAGCATCAACACATGGGCTCAAATGAAAAAGAGCTTCCTTGACAGGTACTATCCCGCATCTATCTCTTCAAGTCTCAAGAAACAAATCAGCAACATTGAGCAAGCGGATAATGAGACCTTGTATGAATATTAGGAGCGCTTTAAAAAACTATGTGCTAGTTGCCCATATCATGGATATTCAGAACAAGATCTCATCCTCTACTTCTATGATGGACTTGTTGATCAAGATAGACGCATGGTGAATGCGGCATGCGGAGGGGGTATTGTTAACAAAACCCCTTCTCAAGCAAGAGACCTCATTTCGGAGTTGGCTGAAAACTCGAGACATTACAACGGAAGGTCATCATCGAAACGAGTCATGGCAGCGGAATCCAACAACTCGTTGGAGAGTCAAGTAGCTGGCTTGACTTCTTTGGTTAAAGATTTCCTTTTAAGTCCAAAAACCCAAGAAGTCAAGGTCTGCGGCATCTGTTCAACGCAAGGGCATCCCACAGATTCTTGCCCGACACTACAAGAAGAGAACTCCGAGCAAGTCAATGCTTTGGGGTTCCAAGGTCAAAGGAGGTACGATCCTCAAGGAAATACTTACAACCCGGGATGGAGGGATCATCCGAATTTAAGGTACGGAAATTCTCAAACAAATCCTCCTCCTCAACAATACAAACCACAAGGCCAAACATCGAACTCGAGTATGTCCACCGAAGACATGATTCGAGCGCTGGCCGTTAATATGGGAACAATGCAGCAAAGCATGGGGCAATTCCAAGAAACCATGATGCAATTCCAACATGAAACCAAGTCGAGCATTCAAAATTTGGAAACTCAAGTTAGCCAAATTTCAAATGCCGTAAGTCGACTTGAAGCAAAAGATTCAGGTAGGCTCCCCTCTCAAACTGAGCAAAACCCAAGACAACATGTCAATGCAATCATGTTGAGGAACGGTAAAGAATTGCAACCACGGGAAGTTGAGGAGGAGAAGCAAGAGGTTGATCTTGAAGAAGGCTTTCAACATGAAGAAGAGAAGCCAACAAAGACTAAATTTCCTCCACTGTCATCATATGAACCACTCCCTCCATTCCCTGAGGCATTGAAAGACACGAGGAAGCTGAAGAATGATCGGGACATCTACGAAACATTCGTCAATTCTGAGGTAAACATCCCACTCTTCAAACTGATCAACAGTGTTCCCCATTATTCAAAGTTCTTAAAGGAACTATGCACAATGAAAAAGAAAAATAAACTGGAAGGGAAACAAAAAGTTGAAGTGAGTGAACGTGTCTCGGCCATTTTTAAAAAGAAACTTCCCGAGAAATGTAGCGATCCAGGCATGTTCACTATTCCTTGCAAAATAGGGGATACCTTATTTTCTAAGGCCTTGTTGGATTTATGAGCGTCAATAAATGTCATTCCTTATTCCTTATATAAATCCTTACAACTCGGCCCACTACATCAAACTGGTGTAGTGATTCAACTAGCGGATCGGTCTAATACTTACCCGAAGGGTGTAGTAGAAGATGTGCTAGTAGAAGTAGAAAATTTGATTTTCCATGTTGATTTTTATGTTCTGGAAATGGGAGATGATAACCAAACTACACCCATCCTCTTGGGTAGGCCTTTTCTAAAAACTGCAAAAACAAAAATAGACGTGTCTAATGGTTCATTAACTTTAGAGTTTGATGATCAAAAGGTAGAATTCAACATTTTTGATTCTACGAAAAAACAGATTGAGGACCAATCTCTTTGTTCTCTAAAAGTTTGTGAACCACAAACCCCAAATAATTTTGTTAAGAAAAAATATGAGAAAATCAAACTTTTTGAAAAAGAATAATTTTTCAATTTTTCAAAAGGAGAATGGATCCCACCTGGGATTGAAGTGATACCAGAGAAGAAATCTCGGCCTTACTGGAGAAGGCCGAAAAAGAAAAATGAAACAAGGGACGTTCACGATCCCACATAAAAGAATATATATATATATATATAACGTCGTGCAGCGACATTAAATCAAGCGCTTCTTGGGAGGCAACCCAATTTCTTCATTTTTTATTTTTAATTTTTTCAGTAGTGTGTGTTAAAAAAAATGAACTGGGATTGGACCCGGCCGGGTATAAACCCTAACCCGGTCGGGTTACTTCTAAAACCTAAACACCCGGGCAACCACCTGGGCGAGGCGAGAGAAAAACAAAAATTAATTTTTCGCCCGACCGGGTAGACGTTTGCACCCGGACGGGCAACCCAGCCAAATCTTTCTGCCTCGGGTGAACAAGTTACACCCGACCGGGTAGACCACTTTACCCGGCCGGGCTTGTAACACCCCTAAATTTCCCGCCCAAAAACAATGATATATTTAAAAGAAATACTTTGTTCATTCATCAAAGAGTAAAGAAATACAGCAGAAGTCTAAAATAGGGAAATGAGTGTTACCGCCACATTCGGTCATCTCTTAACCGAATGCACAGGCAACTCAAAGTAAAATAACAAAAACTAATGTAATAATAAGTAAATGTTTATTTCATGACTAGATTTAACTAAGGCATCTTCTAATTCGCACTCAAGCTCGAGCAATCCATCAATCCACATAGGCATCCAACTCACCACCTGATAAAATTTAAGGGAGAAGAGAGAGACAAGAGAAATAACAAAAATTAGCTTTAGAGCTAAGTAAGTACTACCCAACCCCGTAAAATAATCAGATTTGACAAAAATAGATTTTTATATAATATCATATAAAAATGACGCACTCCACCAAAATACTTTTCTCTTTGATTTTTCTTAAAATCACTTCTTTGCTAAAATCTTAAACTTCTCTTGGAAAATCTCTTAGTAATTCTTCTCTTTAAACTTCTTAAGAAAATCACTTCTTCTCTAACTTCCTAGTAATTTAGAAGGGCGGTGCTCAACCTTTCGACTGAGCCCGGTGGACCGTGGTTACGGACGGTCACCCCGAACAAGTGCCGGTACCACAACTGCTCTTGCGGAAACGAAACGACTACCTTAAGTGTGCACACCCCCTAAAAGGGATTCCAAGCCCTCCGAGTAGTAAGTCATCCCGAGTGGTCGGAACCCAACCACCCCAATTCTAAAATTCTTGAATGATTAGGGACTACTACTATAACTTCTTCTTAAAAGGGATCATAGATCCAAATCTCACTTAAAAGGGATCATAGATCCAAATCTTACTTAAAAGGGATCATAGATCCAAATCTTACTTGAAACTTAAACTGTACTTCTTAGTAGTAGTAGCTCTAATCACCCTCCACATTTATCCGGATGTGGAAAACTGACACCTCGGATTACTCCTGAGATGCTCACTTCTTATGAAAATGTAAATTTTATCTTCAATTAAATAATACTTCAAAAATACTTCTCAATTTCTCTAAAAAAGTCTCGAAGGTATTTAAAATATTTAATACCCCAAAAAGTACTTAATTTATATTTCTCAACTACCATATATATAATATCTCCCCAAAATCACATACACATAATTCAAAATTCACACTTAATCACATAATGCATAATAAGCATATAATACGACGAAACAAATTTTGGATTGGCAGAGAAACTTACCTTAAGTCCTCATGCTCCTAGTTATCCTCCTCTAATCCGGTCTCTAGATAATCACAGATAACGGATTTCGACGATTCAAGTTGCAAAATGATCCTTGCGGCGAGAAGAAGCTCCTCCACCCCTATCTACGGCAAAATATCTGCTTTTTATAAAGACCCGCTTCCACAACTTGCAACTCCGGCGAGCGATATCTCTCTCGTTTCACGACCGTTTTCTACGATTCTTTCACCGTTGGATTCGTCTCACGAAGGGGAAGGTTTCTAGAGTGTTTTCAGGGCTTGGTTCTAGCTAAAACGAATTGTCGAATATATATATATATATATATATATATATATATATATATATATATATATATATATACATATATATATATATATATGTATGTATGTATGTATTTTTCGCAGGTTTGAATGAATAAAATCGTAGGTTTGGCTTGCTATTTATAGGGAATGATGAGGGTTTTAGGGTGAGATGTTAGAGTTTAATTTAAACTCTTTCCTTACTATCTCACGTTTCATATGTTTGGAAATCTTTTTCATTAATTTCCATTTATTGGTCTTTCCATTCTTGGTTTATAATTGGTGCCTCCGGTATAGGTAATACGGAGTATTAGTATTAGGTTTGAAAAGTCAACTTTTTCTTATTTAGTACCCTTATTTATTTGTTCTTAGGTCTCAGCTTAGTCGATCGATCATAGCAGTCCGTTTAGGACTCAAATATCATATTAGTATAACTTAGAGTTGGAGTATACGTAGCTCATAAGTCTGCTTTGGATTATTGTACGCAGTAGTATATAAGTAGTTGGGGTTTACTTATTAGCAGTATTTTAGTAGAAGTTAAATTTGTATTTTGTTTATTTTATACACCAATTACCTTAAATCAAAATAATTATGATGTAACCTTTATTACTTACGCCATATAACTGGTACTGGATATAAAATGTCATTTTCATAATTGTTATAAAACGTTACTTCTATTATCGGATCATTTTTTTATCTGATTAGAATGTCACAATTGTTGAAATTTTGTTTGACTCACTTAATAATTAAAATGTTATTTTCGTAATATTTTATCTGACTGATAAAAATTATTTTTATTTTCATTTAAAATTTTGGAGTGTCACATTCTACCCTCCTTAAAAGATGTTTCATCTCGAAACATTACTAAATCTAAATAATCAAATTCTTAAGTATTACATTCTACCCCCTTTAAAGAGAGGTTACGTCCTCGTAACTAATATTTTACCTTAGTCAAATAACTCTGGATAACGTTTGCGCATATCCTCCTCAGTCTCCCATGTGGCATTTTCGGCCAAATGGTTAGACCACAACACCTTCACCATCTTAACCGCTTTTCTTCTAGTCTCACGAGTCTTAGTATCCAAAATCTGGATCGGCCTCTCCTCGTAAGTCAACGATTCATCCAACTCGACCACCTAAGAAAGTCGAGGTTAGATGTGATACTTTTGATCTAATTATCATAAGGTTACGATTCGTACCTCGGGGCTAAGAATATGGGATTCGTCGCGGACATACTTCTTCAATTGGGAGATATGGAAAACATTGTGTATCTACGCATAACACACTTTAGTACTTGAGAGAAGTTTACTAAGGTATTCACTAACGAGTGGTTATAGTATGTTATACCTTAGCCAACTCGGTGGGTAGAGCTAGACGATATGCCACTCTTCCCACTCGCTCGAGGATGTCATATGGGCCAATGAACCTCGGGCTTAGCTTTCCCTTCTTTCCAAATATCATTACTCCCTTGGTCGGGGAGACTCTGAGTAGGACTTTCTCTCCCGCTTCGAATTCGGCTGGCTTCCTTCCCAAGTCTGCGTAAGACTTCTGACGATCTTGTGCAGCTTTCATCCTTGCTTGAATCATCTTCACTTTCTCTATGGTGTCTTGGAGGTAATCCGGCCCTAACACCACTTGATCTTCCATGTCACCCCAGCATAGTGGGCTTCTACACTTTTGACCATATAGAGCTTCGTATGGGGCCATTTTAATACTGGCGTGGTAGCTATTGTTGTTTGAAAACTCTATTAAGTCTAAGTGTTCGTCCCACGATCCTTGTAGGTCTAACATACATGCTCTCAGCATGTCCTCG